AATTGAGTTCTTATCTGTACATGTAGCTGAGGTGATGAGCCGTGCTTAATTAATGCAAAGTCATTGTGAATATGGCATGCGTACTCCACAAGTCGATGGCTAGTTTTGTTTTTAGGTCGACAACTTCTGATTTTCAAGGCATTAGATTTCGGGTTTTCAGAGAGCTGTTACTCCTCTGGCAGACGCTAAAATAGAATATAATTTATATCATCATGATTTATGGCTTATAGCGCTTTCCGTTTATATATAATTCATATCTTTCTCTTTTTTGACTTCCGACAGGGTCTTTAAAGCTTTTTAACATCAACTGCAATCATTGCCGACGACAGTGGTGTATCCAGAGAGTGGAACCGGGTAGACGTCCCCCCCCCCCCGTTTTAACTGAAGGCCAAGAAAAAACATTGATAAACATTTATTATAGGCAAATAGGAACTTAGGAAGTCCATTGTTTTGGAGGGGCTCGTTTTATGATATTGTTCAAACCTTTCAAGAGTACATCGCACACACCTACTTTAATAAACAACTATCAGTATCAGCCATAAAGTTTTCATAATTTATTTTTATTTGAATTGAACTGATTTGATTTATTGGTTTCTGCATTATCTTCTTAAATATAGAATTTTAGGAATATATCAGCAGGTTTTGATATAAGTTATGGACTACATAATTATATAATGTACAGAATATTGAATACACAATGAACGTAAACTGTGCTCAGGGGGCTGCAGCATTATGAGCAGGAATTCTGACGCAACTATGGTCCTCGACTATATGCTTTACAATGATATCATATCAATTGTATCATGATGCTTTTGACTTATATTCTATATTAGAAAACGAAATTTCGAATATGGCCTACTTCGAAAAACGTAACAAATATTAATGGAAGAAAAAGGGTGTTAATATAGAAAAGAGAAGGACCTCCTCCCATCCAGGGACGACTCCAAACCTTAATTACCGTTACCTCCAGATTAGCTTTTCTCGTGATCCACAGGAGTGGATATCCACTCTTTTAAGAGTAATATTAGGGATCCGTCTTTGATTGAAAACCATTCCAAATTATCGATGGTAAACCGTGTAGAATTAAGATGAAGTTAATTGAGGTCTATACGATTAAGATCTGATGTCAACTCTTCCGCGGTCAATATCCTACATAAACTGAAATTCTAACTGTACCTAACACTATACTTGACACTAACCCCCAAAGCCTAAAGACACGTGAGTTGTGACCAGGTTGCGATCATAACATTACTTAAAGGCATCGTTTAACAATGTTAAATCTGAGATGTACGGCCCTATGTGAAATCAGTGTCTGTGATATGGCGTATTATATACCTCACTTAAGAAATCCAGCCATCTGATTGGTCGAAATTGCATTCATAAACTTCAACTATTTCTGTAAAATTCCCAGTAACCATGGTTATTGGAAAAATAGTTCAGTCTCCATGGTTACCCCATAGGTTTACATGTTAAAAAATGGTCTGAGCGATCGAGCATACCGTACGTGTGCAAAGAATTGGTCGGTAATTTCAATACAATTGAATCTCGATCGATCTTACCGACAATTTTATCTTGCATTGTTGACATGAAGACGAAAATAAACTTCCAAAAACAAAAAAACAACATCTGCCGATAGATCTTGATCTAAGTTCGTGCCAATATGCATTGCAAAAGTGAAAGAAGGGCCCGTTTAATGGAGCAGAAGCGAAGCATCCAACACGCGAAGCCGTTTTCAATTCATTTTAATGTATATATTAGAGAAAACTACTAAGTGATGAAACAGAGCGCGATAGCCGAGCGGATTAAGGCGGTGATTTTAGTTACATCACCTTTTGTACGCAAGAGTTCGAATCCCATCTTCGACAAAAGTTTTTTTATTTTTTATTTTTTATTTTTTCGGCATATAAAAGTATTAATGACTGCTTTAATATTCGAGAAATAGTATAGTATTAATGACTGCTTTGAGAGAAATAGTTGTTTTTATACGCTCAAGGGAAGGTTAGAATTGTGCTATTACCCGAGGCGTGCCGAGGGGAATAGCCCAATTGTAACCTTCCCGAGAGCGTATAAAAACAACTATTTCTCGAATATTAAAGCAGTCATTAATACTTTTATATGCCGAAAAAAAAAGACTAAAAAATAAAAAATAAAAAATACTTTTTTTTTTGGTCGAAGATGAGATTCGAACTCTTGCGTACAAAAGGTGATGTATCTAAAGTCAGCGCCTCAGACCTTTCGGCCATCGCGCGCTATTAACATGCTTGGCAGTTTTGTACGATATATACATTAAAATGGATTGAAACCGGCTTCGCGTGTGATGAATGCTTCGCAAAAGCTCCATATACGGACTCTTCTTTTACTTTTGCAATGCATATTGGCACGAACTTAGATCAAGATCTATCGGCATATGTTGTTTTTTTTGTTTTTGGAAGTTTATTTTCGTCTTCATGTCAACAATGCAAGATAAAATTGTCGGTAAGATCGATCGAGATTCAATTGTATTGAAATTACCGACCAATTATTCGCACACATACGGTATCCTCCATCGCTCAAACCATTTTTTAACATGTAAACCTATGGGGTAACCATGGAGACTGACCTATTTTTTTAATAACCATGGTTATTAAAAATATTAAATGTTTTAAGCATGGTTACCGGGAATTTTACAGGAACAGTTGAAGTTTATGAATGCAATTTCGACCAATCAGATGGCTGGATTACTTAAGTGAGGTATATAATTGTTTTTATACGCTCTCGGGAAGGTTACAATTGGGCTATTGCCCTCGGCACGCCTCGGGTAATAGCACAATTCTAACCTTCCCTTGAGCGTATAAAAACAACTATTTCTCTCAAAGCAGTCATTAATACTATATTATTAACCGTATCAGACATCTGAGCAGGGCAATTTTTTAATGTTATTGCCCTCAAGGTTTGATGGATAAGTCAACAAAATTACAATAAGTTAGTCCGCTCAGAAAAGACAATGGGATTTTGTGTGTGATTTGGCGGGCAATATAGGTTATACAGTAAACCAATGAACAAATATTTTAGCCCGCTCAGAAAAGTCAATGGGATTTGTGTGTAATTTGGCGGGCAATATAGGTTATACAGTAAACCAATGGACAAATATTTTAGCCCGCTCAGAAAAGTCAATGGCAAAATGCGTGTTAAACTAGTGAGCAATAATGTAGATCCAGTTGTAATTTACATCGCGCTTCAGCTACTGTAATTTACATCGCGCATCGCATATAAGAAAATGCGCACTTTGCGCGAACTCCATTGTGACGTAACAATCACACCCTAGGCAATCTGTTTGCAGTGTATCGAAAATCTGTCAAACACTGGATGAACAGTGCTGGTTTGACAATGTTTTTGCAACTTCTAATGCTAGGAAACCCTGTGTAGCCTACATAATTTAAGAGTATAAGATAGTAAGAGTTTCTTGTTTGCTCTAGATGTCTGATGTGGTTAATAATAGTAAAATTGACTGCCTAATTCAGGGCAATACGACTTGTCATATATCACCCTCACCTACGGTTCGGGCGATATATGTCGTATTGCCCAGAAGGCAGTCAATATTACTTAAATATTGAAGCCCTAACAAAATTGCGATTCAAAATGATCAAGAAGTGCCTCCAAGAAGTAAAAACCTTTGAGTGACCAGTTTTACCATACTCATTTTCCTCAATAGACTGTAGTATTATGAAAACCGTTAGGAAAACGCATAATTTGATTTCGATTTCCAATCATACATATCTTGATAATCAGACAGGCGATCGGCTTGTAAAAGTCATGGGGTTCCTGACTGACCTAAAGGTTTAAATTTATCATAGCAGCATGAGCTAAATCCAGGATTTTGTTTCAGAATCTGAGACAAAGTTACCCAATCCCTTTAAAGATAAGTTGATTTCTGGTCAAGCGATTGCATTGTTAAAGAATCGTTGTGAAATCGATCAGAAAAGGTTAATCATCTGGCATATAAGTATAGGTGTGTACAGCAAGGTTCTGGAATCATTAAAATGATTAGAAATTTGGCCCAGTCTTGGTAATGTTACAATTAAGCACTGTACACAGAAAGATGTATATGGGACTACACGAAGCATAAAAATCTGTTCCGATTTTTATGATGTTGCATGCCATATTTAGAATATGAAGACATTTGAAGAGCCATGCTTTCCAGTGGACATTTATTATCTGATGTTCTTTCACACTTGCATAAAACAATGATAACGCTCATAAATTATTTTTCACCTCAGTCTTCCCAAAACTCAACCTTCTCTTTAAAGGTAAAGGCCAGTTTTGGAAACGCCCCCCTCTCAAAAAATGAAATGGAAGCTCTAATTGCCAATCATGTGAAAGACTATGTTTTGACTAATACGTGATGATACAAATTTTGCCGAGAAACCGCCTACTTATTGATAGATTTGGTAAATTAGTATATCTATTTGGACCTTATAACTGTAACGCACGTGTCGCGTAGTCCCATCTTTCTGGGTACAGTGCTTGTAACTTTACCAAGGCTGGGCCAGAGTTCTTATCATTTTGATGATTCCAGAACCTCGCAGTACACACCAATTCTTATATGCTAGATGATCAACCTTTTCTGATCGATTCCACAACGTTTCTGTCAAAATGCAATCGCATGACCATAACTGGTCTTTATCTTTTCGACAAGTGGTCCCGAAGCCACCGGGAAGGCTCTTCAACATCTCGCAGACGACGATTGAGCATGCACCTGAACACCTGGTGAATTACTGGATGCTTCCAGGCATAGATGATAGGGTTCAAGGAACAGTTCACAGACAGAAAGACCACGAAATAAGCTACCATCGTCGGATTGAGCTCGGTCGCAAATAAATTAACCGTGATTGGTAACATGCAGACAAAGAAACACAAAACAACAAACAGCATGTTTTTGGTGATTTTCGCTTCAGTGTTTTTTCGATTAGGCCTATCTTTCTTAATCGACTCCTGTTTATAATTTTTCTTTGTTGTCTTACATTCTACTGATGATTGTTGTGTAGACGAGGGCTGTGGATTTTGATTCTCCAGTTTGTCGTGCACTTTTCGGACGTGGTTCCGCACATGGAGGTAGATTTTCAGGTAGAAATACAAGATGGCGACCATCAGTGTCACCATGGAAATACCAGAAAGGAGGTTGAAAGCTCTGCCGTCCACTACAGCGCACGTGTTGCATTTTTCTCCAAACACCGCCCAACCAGTCGTTCCAAAGAGAATGACGGAACATAAAGGATATGAGAGAATAACTGCAAGCATAATGGCGATGTTCTTTTTACAGAATATTCGGCGATACGTTTGCGACTGTTGAGTGATTAGGATGTATCGATTAAATGCTATCACAATCAATGTAATAATGCTCCATCCGTTGAATATAAATGAGAGACCGCCGATCACTTCGCAGACGACTGCAAAAGCCGAATATGCGTCCACAAGCCCAAGAAGTGCGCCACCCTGGAAAGGTAGCGTCATTGCGGTCAGAAAATCCGTACAACTCAGGACGACGACGAAGAAGTTGGTGAAGGTTTGAAGGCGGCGGGTTAACTGGACAGCGACGATCACAAAGATGTTTCCAACGATGCCAACAATGCAAATGACGACGAGAATAATGGCTGCTGCTAGATTATGAGGGCTGACGAAGCCATCGTCAGGCGCATCACTAACGATGTTGCGGGTCGTAGTCATGTTGGTGTGGAAAATTGCCATGTTGACAAAGGTTGTAGGGTGATGAAATGCTAGTGCCATCTTGAAAGACTTCAGATCACACGTCATGACTTCCTTCCTAGTTTATAAATTAAACAAAGAGACATGTTAGAATGGAAACTATCGTTTATCTTTAATATTTTCAAGCCTAGTCTACTGTTTATGACAGAAAAGGATGAAACTGCATGCAGTGATGACATTTTGGCAGAAGAAACTACTAATTGTTTCTAAACTTCATTATCACACTAGGCATCCGACAGATCGTCCACTTTGGGCAACCACTGACCGGTTGAAAGTTGTCAGACTGGGGAAGTAGAGATGTCTTAAAGCAGCCTTCAAAAGTATGTCACTGACATTTTGCTTGATCAATTTCAGCCAAATTATTATAGGTAGCTGCATGGTCTAGCTCAACGTCGAAAGCCTTTCACCGACCAAACCGGTCCCGACGTGGGGGAAATATGTATTGTCTTTGATCGGTTGCCCGGGTCATCCTTCGTTTGCTCCGGGCTTTACTACGTCTGAAGTTTGGAGGTAAAATTAGGATTATAGGCATATAGCTTTTGGTCTTAGCTTGGGGGAAGGAATTCGGTTAGTGAAGGAAGTTACCGAGGTGCAATTGCCCCATTAACATGTGTCGTACAACCGTTGCCTGAGGGTGAACGACAGATCTTAGACTGATCTCGGACTGGTGTAGATCGTTGCCGGCTCTTACCGGACAAGCTTATGTTGACTAAATAACCGGCTATCATTTGATCATTTGGACAGAATTCAACGATGAATTGCTGTCAAAACGTTCCTAGAACAATGACAAGTTATTCCATAATTTAGCGGTAAAATATGAAATTTTATTAGTGAATGAAATCAATACTTTGGACAGGTTAGATGGTAGATATGATGGTAAGTTATACATTGGGAAAATTAATAAATACACAGACAAAACTCAATACGGATACAAAGTCATGTTCATGTATATGAATGAAGTTTACTAACATGATTCAAATTCATACAGACCCTCAACCATGCTTTTAAATCAAGATTTTAAAGGAAAAAAAAGAAATTTAACGCAACTTTGGTATACCCCCCTTTTTTTGCTCTCTCTCTCTCTCTATCCATCTCTCTCTTTCTCTCTCTGTCTCTTGAATCCAACGTATTGCAATTGTACTAAAAGGAAAAAAACTGTCACTTACTCTTTTATTCATCATTGATAAACTTCCGGGCTCATGACAAATACATAATCTTTAGGGAAAACCATTGCTAGCAGTAGTAAGCTGGTCTGTTGTTTACGCCGTTTATCTGTAACAATAATTGGCGCGCCTAAATCTTGACGTTTTGAAACGAATGCTCGACTATATTAATCCACTGCGCTTTTCAATGTTTTTTTCGCTTCTGAAATCCTAGTAATGTGAGTTAAGAAAGTCCGTTAAAACTTAACGGCCAGGGTGCTTATTCAAAATGAGTGATCAAAGTGTCCAACAGTACGCGTTCTAGTTTGGTAAATCGAGTGATGGAGCTCCCCTCCGCCTCCTACTCCAAAGACAGAATGTGTGTCTATAGTCCAATGTATATAGCACATACGGGGGTTGAAATGAAAAACCTAAGAATGATTAGAGGGTACTATAGATTTTCAATTATACAAAGGGAGTCACTTGTAGAATCACTTATTCAGCTGTTAACCAACCGATGAACAAACAAGATACTTGGTAGTGGGTAGGGGTTCCTTATCAACACCGCCCATGCATTCAATGACATAGTCTGTCGTGTTCTGCGTTGCTCTGATCAACGACGTCTAATTGTCTCTTTCACATTAATATCAGAATGATTGTTTCTGAATCTATCTCTCTCTCTCTCTCTCTCTCGCTTTCTCTCTCTCTCTCTCTCTCTCTCTCTCTCTCTCTCTCTCTCTCTCTCTCCTCTCTCTCTCTGTCTCTCACACTATAATATATAAGGCCATTTAAAAAAAAAACATGTAAAGCGTCCTGCCTTTTTGAAAATAGGAAGCAGGAGGCCCTTTTTTTTTCTTCTGTTTTTTCTTCAAAATGGCCGCTCTGTACATTTTTACCCAGACAGGCTATTTTTAAAGATTTTAAAATCAGAAATAGATTATTTTAGCAGTATTTTTTCACGTTTTGTTTTTCATTTTACAAAAAGGGAAGCGGGCGGGGACGCTAAACATGATTTTTGTATTAAATGGCCTAATCATGTACATCTCCGCATGTCTGTGCCCGACTCTAATAATAACATTGCTTTCTCTCTCTCTCTCTCTCCAGCTTTTATGACTTGTAAAAAGCTTGTTATGTTGTATCTGCGTGGGTGTATTCTATCCCTCCCCTTCTCTCTCTCTCTCTCTCTCTCTCTCTCTCTCTCGTTCTCTCTCTCTCTCTCTCTCTCTTTCTCTCTCTTCACCGTCCTCTATCCCGGGTGTATCCAGGCACATATCTTTCCAAACATACTGACCTAAATCTAATTAGCTTCATCAATATTATACAGTACAATTATGGAATACGACCTTTGTGATTCATGTTGATCTCCGATGTTTTTCACAATTTTACTTGATGTGTGTGATTCCGGATCAACAACGCGGATGAGGGAGAGACAGAGAAAGAGAGAGAGAGAGAGAGAGAGACAGAGAGAGAGAGAGAGAGAGAGAAAGGGGGAGAGAGGGGGAGGGGGATTAGATAGAGAGAGGGGGGGGGGGGGGGAGAGAGGGCATGGGTTTTTAGTTTTTAATTAAAAACAGTCGGTTGTTTAACACGTGCAAACACCCTTGAACGTCTCAGTCTCACCTCCCTGGTCTCATCAAGTTTAAAGCATATCAGGGGGGCGTTTCACAAAACTTGTCATCAGTGACAAATGACAGTTTTTGTTATAAGCTACTGAATTCCTTGCTTCTGATTGGTTATCAACAGATTTGTCACTGATTTTATTTCATTTGTCATTGAAAAAAGGTTTTGTGAAACAGGTCCCTGCACTAGTTTGGCTAGGAGAGCACCTTCATGCATGGTCACTGACAGGTGGTTATCTCATCAAAACAGCTCTCAATTAACATTAAAAAAAAGGAATCATGGGGGACCAAATGGTACCGCTTAAGCATTGTTTGCTATATAGAGGGCGCAAGTAGCTACAAGTCGTGCAGTCCCGCTTTAATACACGCAACATCTTCATTGCGTATATAACCTAACCTTGATTTATTGATGTGGTTGTCTGGTAATTACATGACAATACTTAGAAGTATAATTTTCATGGTTAATCATGCACTATTCAACATTTTGTTGCATCGCATGCTTTGTTCATTTATAAATAAAATAAAAACTATTTGAACAACTTGAATCATCATCATCACCGTCATCATCACCATAGCGACTACTTCTACTCCTGCTATTACTACTACTACTACTACTACTACTATACTCCTACTACTGCTGCTTCTACTGCAACTACTAAATTTGATGTTTTTTGTGTTATTCGGAACTAAGGAATGAAAGGTGGACTGGCTGAATTACGGCCTTTAATTTGTTGCATACTTTTAGATGTAAGCTCAAATATATCATATTCTCAAGAAATATAAACGGGGACAAATCAATTTTTCACCTACTTAAGAAATTGCAAATTTTGGCAATGGTATAAATAATTTAATTGCTAACTGTACATACGTATATCAATTTATATAACATTTTGATATACCCTTGCCTAAAATCAAACACGACTAAGTATCATAACACATTAAACCTCTAAAGACAGTGTTTCATGATTTGATTTAAAATACTCGTGAATCAACATGGAACGGGCCTGAGCATGACCACACAACAGAAGATTTGAACAATGTTTAATATTTAGTGGGACACGATGCGTATCTTAATGTGTTTGCACAATCATTATATATGGTCACTCCTCGGCCAACTTGATTTACATATTGTTTGCTTGTTTGATGTTTTGCAGATGATTTGATTGAGTCACATTTAGAACGTTCCCTTGCTTGCTACGTGCGTGCATGACGACCCAATTTACCGTGGATTATCCGTGGGGGAGGTAGCCTTTAAACAAGGCCCCATGTCTGATAGACGTCGAGCAACTAAAAAAGAGACTAACCGCGAAAACCCGAGTGAACGACAGAGCGAGTAGCGGGCACGGATGTTACACTCGACACATCCGCCCCCTCTCTTTCGACCATATCCTTTAATTTTATTTTCCATTCTGAATACATAATAAAATCGGTATACATTAAAACATGCATGAAGAAATATAAACTTAGTTTAAACAGAACTGGTTCAGTTTTGAATACATAATAAAATCAGTATACATTAAAACATTATATGGAAAAATAATAACCTATAAAGTTCTAATAAACAGAAGTGGCCAGGGCTCCAAGATAAGCGAGTGGGTTCCTGGTGATGCATAGAGACTGAAGAGTGATCGGGAGAGGGAAGGAGATATATATAGAGAGAGGGGGGTTGAAGTAAAGAGGAGTTACAGATGATTGCACATATCGTTGCTAAACAAAGAGCACATAAGCATTTACGATTAACAACATATTGGGCCGAGAGCAGCAATCTTTTCACTGCTGCTTTGGAAGCAAAAGCTGAGTCAATATTCGTTTGATCTAAGGGTAGAGAATTCCTTATGTCCGGTCCGGGCCGCGACTATTTTTAACCTAACCTAGCCATCCTAGCGCTGCATTTGATTTGTTCAAAAGAAACCTATACGTCATGCGCTAGTCATAAATATTCATAGTACGCACGAACATAGAATCTGATGCGATAATTTATCAAATAATGAGATTTCATATACCAATTACAAGTTCAAAGCTTAAAATAAATAGCATCGCGAGAAAGTCGGGAGGCTTACCGTAAACAAATGACTACCTTGGTCGAAACATGTCTATAGTCATTTCGACATACTGCTTGGTCCAGGATCTGGCCGATTTAATTTTGATCTTCACCACACGGTACCAACGCATATATTCAAATTTTCAAAAGTAGCGTAGGTTGGCTAGGTTAGGTTTAAAAAAAGTCGCTTCCGGGCCGCCAATTTCTTTTTCCTACGAA